GCAATTTACAAGTTGCCCTGGAAATCAGGTTTTACTGCTATGAGCATTCTAAAAACCCCCTTCTTTTACTAAAATGGCCACTGCCTGAGGAGGGTAGGCTAGCGAAGTCAGGCCCAGAATGGCTTTGGCTTCTTTCCCGGAATCAAAGTCACCCTCCAGGGTGACAATCATCATCCCGAAAGATGTTCCAGAGAGGGAGACGTGGATTTTCAGGCCAACCCCAAACAACGTTTGGCATGGAAACATGACCGGAACCAGAGCCCGGCTCCTACATGCTGTGAATAACATTCCATGCACCCAGCTGAGGTGTGGCAATGACAGGTAGCGAGCTGCGGTCTTGGTGAACGCCACAACTCGAGGTGGTTTCAAGGCACAGACAGAAAGGCCAAACCTAGCAGCCTGCCGTTGAAAGGGATTTTGAGAGGCCTTCTGGTCGCTGACTCAGAACCAAGGAACTCTTTCCCTTTGCACAAGGATAAGACTATAATCTTACATTTATGATTGTCATTGAACTTCAGAATGTGCACTGCCTGCTGTTTTATAAAAATGTAAATCATTTTATTGGGGGCTCTTACAGATATAACAATCCATAAAACAATTGTATCAAGCAAGCTTGTACATAGGTTGCCATGGTCATTTTCAAAACATCATCTTCCTACTTGAGCCCTGATGCCTATCGTTCTTCAAGACGATGGCACACTAATTCAATTGCTCTGGTCATCCATCAACGTTATGAGGTACTGTGAGTTAACCAGCATGCACTCGACATTTGGCAGATGGCAATCTGAGAAAGCGACAGGGCAGAGCGTGACAGCCACGTTTTATGCAGTCAGGCGAGAGCAACCCCCGGCTTTCGGCGTGTACTCACTCAGCCAGCCCAAACCCCGTCTGCACATCTCCACCCTCACCGCCCGGTTTTGAGAACACTATAGCAGGCTCACACGCCAGCCTCCCGAGCAAGACTTACGGCCAACTGCAAGGCCAATTCAAACTGCTTGTCCTGGAGAAGCTGTTGGATTTGGGTTGCCATGGGGACAGGAATGAGTCTCCAAACAAAATGATTGCTGGCCACGTAGATGATGTTTGATCTGCAGGCAAGTGAAAGAATGTTAGCCAAGCAGCACAGGTGTCACCTGCAGCAAGACCAAGGCCACAGTAAATAGATGTCTTCCTTCCTTACCCTCCCGAAGCAATGAAGCGGGGCCTCTGCAGTTCAATGCTCTGCACCAGGAGCCTGGGCTCAAGTGTTCGGATCTCGACGTATCGAGGCAACACGGCAATAATGTAGGGAGGCTGGTGCTCTGTGTGAGAGAGGGCATGTTGAGAGGTAGTCCGGGCCTACATGACATGTGGTCTGGGGGTTATCCATGGAGGGTTTCAGTCAGACCACCAAAGCCTACCAGTCAGACACTCAACTAGGATCCTACAATGATTCAGAGAAAAGAAAAAGTCGCTTTGTCTGAATTGGCCTGAGAAGTCTCTTGCTCAAAAAGAATGCAGACGGCTTTGCCACGAGCAACCTGAAGCTTCACTCATTCTCTCTCATCTGTTACAAAGCGAGACCACACACAGGCCATCGGCAGCTGCCCAACAGTGGGGGGACAAGGTCCCACAACCCCTTCTTGCATGCTCTTAGAAAGGGAAGGTAATGTCTTTTCCCTAAAATGATGCTAAAGAAAAGACCCGTGATTTCTCATCAATGTTGATCTGCTTAAGCATTTTACACAGACAAAATGCAAAAACTCTGCTTGGCGCCTGCTGGCTCACTGAGAAGAGATCTGAGGAGAATAGTGCCAGCACAGCCATCTCCTACGTGAGACTAGCAGTGAGTCCTCTGACTCTCTCCCTTTGCACACATCTCAGAAAAGCACTCTCATTCAACTATCCATGGCTCTCATTTAAATTCTTGGGTTGGGAGCCCACAGGGGCAGTTCTAGCCTGTCCGTGAGTCAGCATCTACTAGATGGCAGTGAGTTTTCAGTTGTCCGAAAGGAAAAAAGCCCTAGGAGTGTAGTACAGTGCTCAGCTGCTAACTGCAAAATCAGAGGTTCAAACCTACCAGCTGCCACTCTGCCGAACACTGGACACCCTAAGGGACAGTTTTGCTCTGTCCTTCAGGGTCTCTGCGGCTCAGAATTGAGTCAACAGCAACAGGCCTTCTGTTTTCTTTTCTTTATGGTAAAAGAGAATTTACATGGAGGGAATTTAGAAACTAGGCAGAAACTCAGAACAATCCTGAATGAAGACCTGTTATGTTTTACAATGACCTCTGAAATGTGTTTCTTATCTGCATAATACATTAAATATAACTTCACCAACAAAGCGGGAGTATTTTCTATGAATGTAAACTCCCAAACCAAACTCACTGCCATCACTCAGTCCATCAATTCCAACTCACAGCGACCCTGCAGGACAGCGCAGAACTGACCCTCTGGGTTGCTGAAATGCCCATGGCTCTACTCCACATTCTGTCAAGACCGAGTCAAAACGAACCACTAGATGGCAGAATTATCACTCAGAAATTTAATCTCAAAGCATGCCTTCAGAAGTTTGCTCAGTGAAGTTAATTTACTATAATTTTTTTTTCTTAATGATCGGTTTTCTGTTAAAATTAAAAAAAAAAAAAAAAGCAACCAAACTTGACCAGAGGTTACCATGGGTGAAGGAGGAGGAGTTATATTAACGGTGGTGGAATAATTCAGAAAAGACTTATCAATAATGGCTATGGATCAGGAACAGGGTAATCAATGGCACTGATACAGGTAGAAGTTGCTAAATTGGGGAAAAAGACAAAACAAAATGAAATGTGTTTCGCACTTGAACTTTTATGTTCTTAAAAATATAGATGCAGTGGGGTTTCAAAACTATACAGGAACTCAGCAACGAGGACACAGCCCTCTAGACAGGATTTCCACAGGTTTTAATGTTTTCACATGATGAAAAATACATAAATAAATAAAAAGCTTCATGTTTCGTCTTTAGATTTTTTTTTCCCTTTCCTTTTGGGGGTGAGGGGTGGGGGTGGAGGGGACTGGTCTCATTTCAAACAGTTGGTGCGGTTTTCTTTAGTATTCACTTGTTTAAACATGTCACATTTCTCTCCTGTTCCCTCTGGCTCACTCAGAAAGGGCCTTTCCGTGAAAAAGGTAGCCCACCACAAGAGCCCTCCTGGCTGGTGCATCTTCTCAAATGTTGGGGCTCCCCCGGCTCTTTGGACAAGAGTAGGGTCCCCTAGCTCTCCTCTTTTCTAACCTCAAGACATAGCATAGCCTGGCTTTGGGTCGGCAGTCAGACCAGGAAGGTCTGACAGGGGCGATCATTCATTTATCCAGCGGCATTCTTAATCCTTTACTGAGCGGTGAGGATGGTTCAGGCAACAAGAATCCAAAGTGGAGCAAGACAATGATCCAGAGGGCAGGGAACCCTGGGGTGAGCAGAGGAGACCAGAGGCTCGGTGCCCTTCAGTGCCACAGGGGGTGTGCCAGGAGGAGATACCTTGAGAGGGCTCTGGGGGCGCAGAGCAGGAAGTGACTAAATCTGCCTGAAGGTCAGACAGGACTTCACAGAGGAAGTGCCATGAGGCAGGGCCTGGTCACGTGAGCGGGCCAGCAGTGAGTGGAGAAGAAAGGGGACAGCAGCATCGTGAACAAGGGCAGAGAGGGGGCCACGTGGCCAGGGTGAGAGCAGAAAAGTCCACAGTGTGGATGGAACGTACTGCATGGTTCTAATGTTGAATCCTCTCTCTCTGAGGTGGACTCCACTCCCTTACTTTCTTACTTTTCTTTTGAGGCAGCTCAACGTCTTGCAAGGAAGTTCTATGGTGCTCTCATCAAAACCACGTCTCCCACTGTGGGGCAGAGCAAGATACCAAGATACTAGGACAGGTTTTTAAACAGGAGCTCTCACACTGGAGGATCAGAAACATATTTGGAGCACATTAAGTGTTCCTTCATTTATGCCACCACAAGCAATTAGCCCCTCGGGAGCTTCTAAGACACTAGTCTTTCGGTTGTGATCTTCCTGCTGGTCAGCTCATCTTTAGCCACCCTGGAACAGAGGCCAGGGTCAAGGCAGCTGGCCAGTTAGAAATCCACAGGCCTCTCCCAACTTCTCAGGGGCCAAGAACAACAGGCTTATTTTAGTCCTCCATCATTCAGAGCACTGTTCCAGTCCTGTCGGTCTCCTTCACATCTTCTCAGGAAGCAGCATGTCTTCTGCATTTTCTGCTCCTTTTGCAAGCTGTTCTCTCAGCCTGAAAAGGAAGTTTCCTCAAGTCGGGTCTCAAACTCCCTGCCTGGCCTAGTCTGACCTTACTTCCACCATGAAGCATCCAGACTCCTTAGACAATGAACCTTCTATTGTGTGGACTACTGAAGTGCAGCTCATCTAAGGCAGCACCTGCTGAAGCGGTGTCTGAGTGCGCCTTTCCCCAGGATACAATCCTTGTCTCCCCTGCTACAGCCCTTAAAGACAGGAGGCAAGCCTGTAGTCCTGACCCCACAGCATGCTCACGCTTCTGACTGCGAGGGTGGCCACAGGGTTCCAGGAAACACCAACGCGGACTGAGAGGCCTGAGGTGAGTGTAGGGCCGCCAGAATCAGCTAGAGCTTAGGAGGAGAGGCGGACACCTACGGGCAGTTTGCCTCACTAAGTTAGCTCCAAAGACAACAAGGACCACAGTGTCAGAAAGCCGTCATTGCTGAGTTATGTGTATGTGAGGAAGAACTAGGGATTGTCCACTGCTTTCCAAGTGGTGTCTCCTCGACCCAAGACGCAATGAGATCTTGAAAAAGAAGGTAGGGGGAAGAAGCTACTTTTATGAGGTGGACGCCTCAGTAAACAGTCACTTGCAAACGGGAGAGAAGTCAGCTGGTCGTCTGTGGAAGTCGGTGTGGGGAAGCAGAGGAGGAACCGTGAAAATGGCCACACGGTATGCAGAATGCCACCAAGGGGGCCCAGCTGCTCACAGAGAAGCTGCGGGCTGGGTCCCTGCTCTGCCGTGCACATTTTCACCCATCATCATAGCCTCAAACGGATAGTTCTGCTTACAGTCCCGCGTCTGTGAAAAACTGGATTCCCCACACAAACCATTATATCCTGATTTTCAAGTCTCTCCGGCCCTCCTCTACTTATCAAAAGGGGAACCGAGAGCAAATGACGACCCAACCCAGGTCTGCCAAGGGGGCCCCCCCGTTCTTCAAGAACTCGCCAACCCCGGACTCCAAGGGGCCCACGGCAGCACCGGGGGTCCTCACCCATGGCCACCGGTATGTCCGTCCAGTTCAGGGCGCACTTCTGCGTGCAGATCCCCTCCGCATTGAGCACCACGGTGAGGTCATCCTGACCCACAGCCACTTTGCCATCCGCCAGAGGCGCAACTAAGGGCTCCAGCTGTTTTCCTGTTGGAAAGAGCTCTTTGGTGGAGCCCTTTCCATCCACCTACAGGAAGACACAAAATGAGTGAGAGGAGAAAAATCCAGACGAAATCCCAGAGCTGGAGAAGACCATACTACTCTCTGACCAGCACAAAGAAAGATGGTAGGGGGTTATTAGAGCAGAATCTGTTATCAAAAAGTAGAACCAGCTCTCTTTTGCTCTAACACAAGGAAAAGCATTTAGCCTGGCAACTGACAACACCACCGTGCCAGCAAGGCAACTGCAACTCACCAGATGCTGCCGGGGAAATGCGAAATGATCCAGCCACTTTGCCTACCGATGGCTGGTCGCTCATGAAGGGGAGCACCAGTCACCGACGGCCCAGCAGGGCCCTTCCGAGGCACTTGCCCGTGAGAAATGAACCTCTATGCTCACATGTGTGTGAATGTGTGAAGTAGCTTTCTTCATGATTGCTGAAACTTGGAAAATACTTTGTTCTGCAACAAATGAATGGACACACAAGCTGTGGGGTGCATCAGCCCATGAAAGGCAATAAACTGCAGACAGGGATGAGTCTCAAGCGCAATGCACTAAGGAGAGATTTCCCACTCACAGAAAACGCCAGCCTCAAGCCTGTGACAGCAGTAACCAGGGTCGTCGTCGGAGTGACTTTTGGCCCAGTCTCCCCCAACCCTTGTCATCTTCCTTCAGCACTGACCTGCCTACTTGCTATTCAATCAGTGCACATCAGTGACTCCTTTAGAACTTTAGAACCCCGTGGCTGACAAAATCAAGATATTCCAGCAGTAAAAATATGGAACAAACATATTGATTAGGTAATGAATGGCCCACTGGGGCCAGAATAGCGGGGAGGTGAAAAAGCAAGGCTTCTAGAACTGCCTACTTTGGACCGAGGGAGAAGTATGGAGCTACGAGAGTTAGACTAGTCTATAGAATAAATGGTCTATCAACTTTTTCTAGATATTCATATTAGGGTAAAAATGCATTCTTGTATGCAAATTGGGGAAAACAACTTCATGTCCCAGAAAGATATTTACCACATATGTTCAGAAAAATGAAAGTTCTGAAGCAAGGCGTGTAACGTGTTATTTTGCAAATGGGGTAGAAGTCTACATATAGCAAAGGGGTAACAGTGTTTATCTGTGAATAGGAATGATAAAACAATTTGAACTTCTTTTATGTTTATCTAGAAGTCTTATTTTCTAAACACATGTAGCTTTTGAAATAAAATGAAACAAAGTATTTAAAATAAATTTTTTTAAATAATACTTAATACTAAAATTAGCTTATAATTCCTGCACACTGAAGCCTCAGGCAGCAGTCATAATAAGTCTATCAGACAACTGCAAAAAAGCCCCAAGTTAAATCTGTCCCAAGAATTAGATACATAATCTGGAAAGTTCTTAAGGCAGAGAATTGAGAGCTGACTCTGCCCTGGCTTCAGTCACACAGACATCTTAGTGGAAAAGTTGACAGTCTGAAAAATTACTAAAACTACAAACAAACATAAACCATGTTATAAAAAAGTTCTACTTAAGATGGTCTCTGGATCTACAGTTGGAAGCATAGCGTCTTCTCCCTAAGGAAAATTCATACTTGTCTTCCTCAAAGTAAACTGATGTTTGTAAAATCATAATGCTTTACCCGTATTAGGTAGTAGTCTCTCTTGAAACCCACACAGATAGAATGTTCACACCAAGCCATGGACTTGGGCACATCTGGTACACTAAAGTCCCCCTAAAGAAAGAGAGCAAGAGTTCAAAGATACTGAAATTAAAAAAAAAAATCACGACCATGTTATTACCTCCCATTCTGTAAAACATCACCCTCATGATAGCCTAAGGTTGGGCTATCCAAATAAAATAAAGATACGATACCCAAAATAAAGATACGATATATAGGCTACACATAAAGGTAGATTTGGAGAAGTAGATGCCTACTTTAAATTAAACCACTCAAGATGGAAATGGTAGAATCGTATTCCCCCGACTTCTGAGGACCAGAAGACTTGGCCAACAAGCTCTCATATATTTCTTGCCAGAGTAGCTATCGGGGAAGAACTACAAGACTGGGGTGCTGAACTCAACAGGAAGTCTTTCAAACTGTGGGGCTAATCATAGCAACAGCTCCCACCCCACCCACAGGCCAGGCCGCAGTGGATTTTACCTGCAACTCATGAAATTCTCTGTCCTTCCAGAAATAGAGCTGCAGCTTCTTCTTCACTGCCACACACATCCGCAGCACCTCCTCACCAGTCTCTGTGTGCTGGAAAGAAACACCCACTCCAGATGAGGATGCGCATGCCCTCACTGAGCACACTCACGGGCACCCACGCCTACTCCACCACTGAATCAGAACTGTTGCAGGTGGTCTCCCTTTAAGTGGCTTCTGATCCGAAGTCCTCTGTAACATGGGGTCTCACTGTCAGGCCTGCTGAGCAGAACAGCAGCCTCTAATGTGGACTCAGAAACACCTGGCTGGGGGGCACTTCCTCCCCAACGCCAGATGCCGGCACCTCCACCCCGCAGAGGGGAAAGACTTAGGGCAGGACTTCACCCACAGAACACCCTTAAGATGGAGGGGATGAAGGGGGAACCTATCGCAGTGATCAACACATAACCCCACCCTCGCCGACAAACATCAGAAACGTGGGTGAAGGGAGACAGCGGTCAGTGGAGATATGAAAACAATAATCATTTATCATTTATCAAGGGGTCACGAGGGTGGGGTTGGGGGGGCAGGGAAAAAAGAGGAGTTGATACCAAGGGCTCCAATAGAAAGTAAATGTTTAGGAAATGACGATGGCAACCTATGTACAAATAGGGTGGGGTGGGGGCTGGGGCTGCTGCTGGATGGATTGTGATACGAGCTGGAAGAGCTCCCAATCAAATGATCTTTTTAAAAAAATGGAATTTACAGAAAACTATCTCTGACATTAAAGTCATGTCTCAGATTTAAAAACAAGTGGAGTAGGCACGTGCTTCGACACAACACGGTGCAGCACCACGCAGGCTGTGGCGGGACCCAAATGGAGGAGGGCAAGGCCGACTTTGTCACAAAGCAGGATCATGAACTGGCAAAAAGAAGGAGTGTTGTCTTTTGAGAGTAGTGACAAGCCAAAGACAAAGACCATGGTCACATGGTTAGAACGAGGGCCCATTTGAATGCACAATCGCCACGTTACTCATAGCGTTAGCCTTGATTCTGCACGGGGGCTTGTCCACGGCCAGTGTGCTGACCCTGCTATGCGGATACGTGGGGCTCACACTGGAGGTCACTGTGAATGCAGTGGCTCAACTTCAGATCAGAGGACATTTCAAGACAACCCAAAGCCAAGGACTCTGCGTGGGGCCTCTGGTGGGTTTGGATGGTCAAGGTCATTATTCTCAACGAAGAGCAGGAACATATTGATGAAAGCACGAAGACAACTTTCACCTTGCCTACGCTTACCTGGAGGTCACAGGTGAACAGGGACGCCCCCTTTGCCTTTGACACCGTAGTGATTTGTTGGAATGTCAACAGGTCATGGACATAAATGTTATTTTCTGTTCGGAAGAAGGCAAATCGTCACTATAAATGATCACCCTTCTCTAGTACGGCCACTTTCATGACCAAAGGTAAAGGTAAAAGTAAATAACCGTAGCATCTAGAACAGTGGTTCTCCACCTTCCTGATGCCATGGCCCTTGCATACAGTTCCTCATGTTGTGGTGAGCCCTCCAACCATAACATTATTTTCGTTGCTACTTCATCACTGTCATTTTGCTACTGTGATGAATTGGGCGACCCCTGTGAAAAGGTGGTTCGACTCCCACAGGTTGAGAACCGCTGCTCTAGAGGATGGGAGAGGTAGATGTTGGATGGAGGTGGACCATTAGTCTCACGGATGACGGTGGTTCTACCTGCTCTCCTGCCAGTCCCGAACATGCAACAGACCACTTGGAACCTGCATGTTCTGCTCTTTAAAAACCTGAAATCACCACAGTAAAACAGCTCTTTCGCTTCCAAAGTAAATCCTATACCTCACCCTCAAGTTTGGAAAGTTTGTGATGCAATATTTGCACAAGAAGCGGCCTTTAAAGATACTCACTTTAGGAACCTCTAGTAAGAAAAACGAAAACCCCTATGGATCTTGTACCAACCCCTGGCATACATGTCTATTCTCAGAAAGCAAAGTCATTTCACATCGGCCTCCTGTCTTTTAGTCAAGAAGATTTAGTCTTCTGCTTGTCAAGGCCTAACTGGCTCCCTTCTTAGAAACCACAGCTTGTCCTTCACAGCCTGGCCCAGACTTCCTCTTTCCTCTGGTATTTCACCATCCTCCATCACAAATCCCAAGACTGCCTGTCAGGGACTACTTGCCATGCCCTGCACTGCTGCCTCGCGGGGTTTTGCTCAAGTGAGTCGCTCTGCCTCCAGGGCTCTGCCTACCTCTCCCCTGCTGTCCCAATGCTGACCACCCACTAAGCGGTGGACCCTTCAACCCTTTTATAAACTTCCATAGTAACTTCCGACAATCGATGATGATGACTTTTTATCATTCTCATCTTCTTAATGAGATTGGACACTTCCAAGTTAGAAGCCAGGTCTCGCTCAACTGGCGTTCTCAATGCCCAGGTCAGGCTTGCTTTGCACAGTGCTCTATCAATATTTGACAAACTGGTGAATAAATGAATGAGTGAATGAATAAAGGGACACTCCCTGGACAGCTGAGCCCAAGGGAGATAGATACTGCTGTCTTTATAACCTGGGTCTCTTGCTTTATCTGCTCTGGACCTATCAGTTCATTTGTTAAATAATGACTATCAAATTGACTATGAAAGGGTTAATTGGGTCACAGTACATATATATATATACTATATATATATAGTATATACACACACACACAGAAAATACAAACACATCCCCTTTTCTTACCTAACAAGCTGACCAGAATCTTGAACTGGGAAACCACATGGATCTGGAAAATAGCAGATCATTCTTCTCAATTAAACATGTCTAACAAGGTTTAGCAAAAGTCTTTTAACTAGAGACCAAAAGTGGACAAAGGAGCCTAAACCAATCGCAGACATTTGACTTATTTTTACCCATAATTAAAATTTCCGCTCGTCCAAGAGGATCTCGGGCCCCTGGTTGTACGGACAGAGACCAGAAAGCAGAGGGTTCCGTTATTCAACAGCATGACCAGAGCTCCTGCTTTGGCAGGGCCTCCCACGAGTCCGTCACAGATTCTTCTAGCAACCACCATCATGGCCTACCTGCTGGATCTTTTTGGAGAAATTTTTATTGGATTTCTCCAGCGTTACTTCAAACCTGTTGCAACCTATGGAAAAGAAATGAATATGCACAGTTCCAAACATAAACATTTGAAAACAGAGACAAAAACAAAAGGCTACTCTACATGACATTCCTACAAGACTCGAAGGACACCTCTATACCAGCCACCTATCTTTACTAAGCCTTGCGAGCTACTTTCTATCCCCATTTTAGAAAAGGCTTCCATGCACCTTCACTTGGCATCAGCAACAGGGATCACACCACAGAAGTGCCCTGCAGCTGCAAGGTACTTGTCAGTTCAAACGTCTTACACTTTACAGCCACAACAAAAAGTACCTTGGCAAAGTGCCTCACAGAGAAGAGTGTACAAAGTAGAGCCCAAAATGCAAGAGCCCAAGCAATGAAACCCAGCCCAAAGCGTCTGTAGGCCAGCAGCTACCCTCTGTAGCTGGGCCAGAGCCCAGCACACCCCCAGAAAAACGCATCTACACTTACTGCCGCTGTCAGGTGATGCAACATCTGCCGGCACTGTTGCAAAAAAAGGGTAAAGAAGTTATAGACCAAAAAACCATGCGTATCTAGCCTTGCTGGGATGACAAAAAAATACTCAACCTCCAAAGGCACCACAGAGCTGAAAAGAGAACAGTTGGCATAAGAGCAGCCATTTAACTAGAGCCATCACTGGCATTGGGCTTAGAAATGTATATCTATCTCTGTAACTTGCACAGCTACCCCAAGGAATAGGTATCCTCTGTCCACGCTCCTATTTCTTTGAAGGAGTGGAGCTTCCCACGTTCATTTTGGAGACGCCAAAGGCGCCAAAGGCTCACTGCTGCTGAGTCTTAGCAACCGTCAGGATTGAGAAGCACTGCCCACAGGGCGCCACGGCCGCCATCTTGCCGGAAGCAGGCTGCTCTCTCTGTGGCTGGTGGCTTTGACCACACAGAACTTCAGGTTAGCAGCCGAGCGAGGGCTTAGCACCACTACACCACAAGGGCTCTTCTTTTGGAGGAAATATATGCCAAATACCCAAGTCTAAGAAAAAACGTCATTTGTTGTTTTTCCAAGTAGATATGGTAAGTCATCAAAAAAGAGGTGACAAGTTTAGCACATAATGCAATCACACAGCGGCTTGTCTCCTGGGCACTGGACTTGGAGAACCATCGACTTCATATCTTAGTGGACAGCAGAAGTGCTGGGCATGGGAAGTGTACTTCCCACGCAGGGAGGTGGCTCAGACCAGAGCCCAGATCCCCAACGCCCAGCTTCCCACGATACCTACATCCATCTCCCTCTCTCTCCCTGGAAGGGCAATCTGGTTGCATCTTTATCTACCTTGCACTGTCTCCAATTTAGAAACGACCTTCGTTCTAGAGCTGACTCATGAGGTTCCAGGTCTACTTCTGATACATACAGGGCCAGGGCTGGTCCAGAAGTGAGCTGTCCTCCACGGGGAAAGGGAGAAGTGGAGCTTCTTGCAGGGAGACTTTACATCACACTAAAGTAGGTTCACACTGCCAACGCCTAGTGAAAGAGCTGAACTCACTTGTCAGAAGTCACATGTGAACTTGGGAAAAATGCAGTCACCACCAGTATTCCAAATCCATTAACACTAACTAGATCCAGTTTGAGGGTTCTACTGTATCAAAAGATTACTTTTTCGTAGTTCTAGATACAGGGTTCTCCCCATAGTCTTCCATACTGTTCACGGTCTGCAGTATTTTGAAATCTAAATACATTGGACATGACCAAACTAGACATGTGTGATCAAGTTTTATACAGTATTTGGTGAGTACAGCTATCTCTCCCAAACCATCTATTTTAAAATTTTTAAAAAAAGAAAACTTCATTCTTGATAATCTCTTCATAAAAAATCGCCTCCTAATTTAAAGCTGGCAAGTCACTGGAATCTAGAGATAATTTTGTATTGACATGCCACTTTAAAATTTTGGTACATGCATTAAGAATTGTGTACACATTGTTCATGATCTCTGTACTGATCTAAAAGCTCCATAAAATGCCAGCTACAAAAAACATAAACAAAAAGCTTCACATAAAATCACAGCAGATTGGGCAGACACCTTGGGGGGGGAAATCAAATAGTAGTTCAATTTCTTACCTTCTCAAATAGGACTAACAAAAAGTTACAAGGAGTAATATTTACTTTCAATAGTAATATAACAGGCCCAATAAATTGATTAAAAAATAATAATAATAGTAATATAACTATTAACTGGCTGCATTTTTTTCAAAGCTACATAGTATTACTATACTTCATGACCTGCAGAATTCAAGAGTGTCCCAGCACTGAAAAACTGTCTTATCTTGAGGTTTCCGAAGTGGGACGAGCCTGCCAAGAGAGCACCTGGCCTGCAATAACAGCTGCTTCAGCCCCAAGCCCCAAGCCAGGCCCACTGCCGCTGAGCTGATTCTGACTCCCGGTGACCCTGTATAGGGTGTCTGAGGCTGTAAATCTTGATGGGAGCAGAGCGGCTGGTGGGTTTGAACTTCTGATTTTGCAGTTAGTGGTCTGATGCTTACTAGTCATGCTGCTCTTGCAAATACTTCCTTAATGTACAGTAATTCCCAAGGCTGCTGGGTGGGGCTCTGACTCACGATGTAGGATTGAATCCATGCACACACCGAGCTTCATCCCACTGCCAACAAGCTGTTGTGTGAATGGGAGGCGACCAGACACAGGCGTGTCATTCAGGGTATCTCAAATGCACCTGTTGACACCCACTGGTTCTCAATCATGTTGCCCAAGAAGAAAACCACGACACATGCTAGGAGCTTATTTTCTTGGGCCCGCTGCCAAGAGCTAAGCGCTTGACAACAGCCATGAACCCTAACCCTCCCAGCTTGAACACTGACAGGGAAGGTGCTGTGCGTGTCATTACTGGCTGAGGGAGTGAGTGACGCCTTCCATAAGGATGTCTTGGTGCTGCTGGCTGATAACCCGCCTGCATTCCTCAAGCGCCTACCGATGAGCTCAGGAGACATAACCCTGGAATTTAGTAGCCGCCCCATGCACACTGCATCATTAATCTCCTGCTGGGCCTATCACCAAGGCTTGCCAAGGGTGTGCTCCAGACCACCAACAGGTGAAGACGCGGCTTTTGCTTCATCTTAAACCAGCCCACCACCCTGGCTGCCCGTACACTGAGACTGCGGCTAGTTCAAGCCAGAAATAATCTATCTGGAAAGTCATTCTACTTGAGCACTTAGTATGTGATGGCACAAATAAATAACTAAACAGACTCTCTATGAGGAGTAAAGAACAGAGAATCTTAGTCCTTGTCCCTGCACCCAAAACAGAGAGTCACAAAGCAGTAGAATGGAGAATAAGATAAAAACTCAGCTTAATTTTAAAATCACAGCCTGGATAGAGATCCCAGAAAGCAAATATTCTGGCTCTCAGAACTGAAAATGTGCAGCTGGACCTGGTGAGCTACTACTGCCCATTGGCCAAATCCCACCCTCCTATCCATTTTGTAAATAAAGTTTTATTGGCACACAGCACCCCCATCATTTAGATAATGGCTATGGCTGCTGCCCTGCTACAAAGGAAGAGTTGAGTAGCTGCAACAAAGATTCTATGGCCCCCAGAGCCCAAAGATTTATTATTTGGCCCATCTCAAAATAAGTTTTCTGATCCTCGATTTAAAGGAAAAATTAAGACCTTCAGCATGAAATAAGCCCTCTATTTTGTTCTGATTTCTCCTCCCCACCACTAGAAACTGACCAAGCCTTCTTCCTCTTTCCCAACTGCCCACTAGTAATCTACTCTGGCATTCACAGCAGATTGCTATAGCTCCGGGGCTCCCGGGCCTAGTATCCAAGCATATAATTTTTCTGTAAAATGAGCAAAGAGGGGGAAAAAAAGAGTGAGATCCTTTAAATGCCCACTAGACAATACTCTTCAATAAATTCAAAACCTTTCCACCTATGATTCTATGTTATTGCTGCCGGGGTCATATTTGATAGTGCGCCCTCTCCCCCACTGCCCCCCACCCCACACACACACACCTCGAAGTCTTTTTGAGCACATTATTGCATGTGATTGATATTGCATGACTGCATGTGCAGCTTATCTCACTACAATGAATTATTACCAGAACGTCTGGAGAAGAGGAAGCTGACAGGGGAAAGGTGAGCCCACGGTCAGTCACAGGGCCAGGGGGAAGTAAAGCTGGGCCGAAAAGCCAGGTCATCTCCCATCTCACAAGTGAACTCAAAAACAAACCAAACCACTGCCATCCACAGTTGATGCTAACTCAGTAACCCCCCAGGACAGGGTAGAATCGCCTCTTCAGGTTTCTGAGACTATAACTCTTTCCAGGAGTAAAAAGCCTTATTTTCCTCCCGAGGAGCACATGGTAGCTTCAAACTGCTGACCTTGAGGGTGGCTGCACAACCTGCAACTCACTACTCCCTCACTATCAACAGCTCCTTTTTCACCTACCCTGCCGTGCCATTTACACAGAGATTCAAGTCCAATCAGGAGAGGTTTGGGGGGTTTTCTTACTGGTAGTGACTCTCTGAGAAGTCATCAAGTAAGAAACATGCGATCTCACCCCACATATGGGAGGGGCAGGCAGTTTGGGGGTGAAAGAAAACATCCTGGAGAAGCTTACAAACTTCTCAGCTTCCCAGAGCTGCCCCTCCCTCAAAATGGCTCTTTTGATGGTGCAGAAATCAGTGATTCCATAGCTGAGTATGGACCAATTACTAAAACTTTTTCTTCTTTTTTTTTTTTAAATGTATCAGTAGTAAGCCACTTCTTTCTGGAAGGTTTTTCACTCACCAACATCCTTCCGAATCCTATAGAGAAGAAGGTGTCCTTGCTTGGTTCCCACAAGAAGCCATTCCTCTGGGAAAGAAAACAGCGATGAGAAAGGCCAACTAGCCTCAGTGAAACCTTCTTTCTGTAGCGGGGGCTTGTGCTCAGAATCAAAGGATAAGAAAATTAATCGCTTTGGATAGCAGGTATCATGCAAATGTAAAAAATCATGAATAAATAAATGTATATATGTTTAAGAAATGTTTCTGAGACCCAAGCAGTCAAAGATGTTTATGGAACAATTACTAGGCTAGATGGTTAAAAATGTTCCTGGCTTCTTTTCTTCAAAAAAAAATTTTTTTTAATTATTTTATTGGTGGCTCTTACAACTCTTGTTACAAACCACACATCAATTGTATCCGACATATTCGTACATATATTCCATCACTTTTCTAGACATTTACTTTCTATTGAGCCCTTGGGATCAGCTCCTCTTTTTTCCCCCCTCTCAATTATTTAATTATGATTTTCTGTATATTCTACTGTACAATTCCATTAATATTTTAAAAATTGTTTTAAATGTGTTATTAGGACTCTTACAGAGAGCATAACATCCCTCCGTTCGGCCACATCAAGAAGGATTACACAATTGCTACCACAATCGGTTTCACAATATTTTCTTTCTTCTTGAACTCTTGACATCAGCTCTCCTTTGTCCATTCCTCTCCCACGATACCCCCCAAATTCCCTTTCTTCAGAATTAACCGACCAGAAAGATGTACGAGCTTCTCTATTAACATATCTATTCGTTGCTGTTGTGAAAAGGCAGCAGCTAAGAAGGTGATGGAAGTTTACAAAAGCAGAAAACAAGGGACGCTGAGCCTGTCCTCAGACTCACCGCCATCCATGGACTGCGACTCATGGTGTGCCCGTGGGACAGAAAAGGGCTGCCCCTGACAGTTTCTGAGACTGTAGCTCTCTCCAGGAGTGGAGAGGCTCATCTTCTCTCATGGAGTGGCTGGGGGTTTTGAACTGCTGACCTTGCAGCTAGCAGCCCATTCCATCACCACTCTGCCACCAGGGCCCCTTCTTTACGCTCAGTGGCCGTCAAGTTGACTCTGGCTCGTGGCAGATGCATGTGTGCAGAGTGAACTGCTCCCCAGGGTTTTCAGGCCGCTGGCCTTTCAGACGCAGATCACTAGCCAGGTCTCCCAAGGTGCCTGTCTTCCAAGGGTCCAGGCTTAAAGCCTCAACCTCTGGGCCTGTAGGTGAGCGCTCAACCAGCTGCACCACCCTTATACAATGAATTATTACCGGCATGCTAATAAGCATGAACTTAGGTACCAAACCACAAAAATAACAGCTTACAGGGTAAGCTTTTGAAGGTTTAAGTGCTATAGCATATTTACTAAAAAAAAAAAAATCACGGCCATTGAGTCAATTCCGACCCAGAGTGAACTGCTGGTCTTGATGTTAGCCCAATGCCTAGCCCATGATGCCACCAGGGCGCCTCAGACAAACTGCTGTTGTTACGTGCCGTCAAGTTGGTTCTGACCCACAGGAGCCCTACAGGACATATTAAGCTTAGAGAATTCATTACCTATCTCAAAAGATGGCCCAATGGATAATACCTAGAAGTTGATAAGAACGTGGAGAAGCTGGGACCCTCGCACTTTGACTGTGGAAACCTACAAAGGTGTACACTCTTTATCACACTGGTAACCAGTCTGGTGGCTCCTCACATAGTTCAGTATTGGGTTGCTATGTTGTTGGTAGCTGCAGATGAGTCAGGTGCGACACACCGTGCTTTACAGAGCCCTTCTTGGTCCTGCACCGTCTCCACAACGTTGTCTTCTTGAGTCCGTGGTTCATGCCCATTGTGATTGTGACTCCTGAGGGCTTCGCTCTGTTGCTGACCCTTTACTTTACAAGTCTGATGTCTTCTCCCAGCCGTCCATCCCTCCACAGTAGGCAGGGCGAAGTCTCCCCACTTCTAAGGAACTTCCTGGGTACCCTTCCTCCAAGACGGCTTTGTTGGTTCTTCGGACCGTTCATGGTGCCTGCACGAGGCATGACCAGCACCAATACTTCAAAGAGGCCAATTCTTTGGTTTTCTGTTTTTTCCCTGCCCAGCTTTTGCATGTACACAAGGTGCACCTTAGTCATCTAGTGACATCTTTGCTTTTTAAGATTTGAAAAGAGTCTCTTGCCACCTGCACAGATTGGTCACATGTATTCTGTTGTGTGATTGGCTGACTTCTTCTTCCGTGGACACTGTGGGTCCAAGTAGAAAGAGACCCTTGACACCTTCGATTTCCTCACCATTTACTGACCAGTGATGAGGGTTTGGCTTCCCATGTGACCAAAATTTCCACTCCTAGGGACACACCCAAGAGGAAAATGTATGTCTACCTGAAAACCTGTCATCAATGTTCATAACAGCACTATTCATAAAAGCCAAAGAGGTGGAAACAACTCAAAGGTCCAGCACTTGATGAATGAATACACAGAATAATTGAATTATTGGTACATCCAAATAATTGAATATTATACAGCCATTAAAAGAAATGAAATACTGGTACATGCCACAATATAAATGCACCTGAAAACATTAGGCTAAAAGAAATACAAAAGGCCATATATTATGTCATTCCATTTATATGAAATGTCCAAAATAGGGAAATCCACAGAGACAAATAGCAAATTAGTAGTTGTCCAGGGCTTGAAGACACTGGGGAAATTGGGAAGTGAATTTTAATGGGGACAAGGCTTCTTTTCGGGATGATGAAAATGTTCTAAAATCATTTGTAGAGACAGCTGCACCTACCTCTATGAAAATACTAAAAAACAATAAATTTTGCCTTTTAAAGGGGTAGATTAGATGGACTGAATGGAAATTCCAGAACACTTAATTGTGCTCATGCAGAACCTGATTGCCTGGATCAAGAGGCAGTCCTTCCACCAGAACAAAGGGATGCACTATGTGGTTCAAAATTAAAAAAGGTACAATTCCCAGAGTCATTCCTTCTCACCATACTTATTCAGCCTGCGTGGTAAGTAATCATTCTGGACGCTGTTGGAGGAAGACCCATGCACAGCCTAAGACGACACGGTCTGCCTTCGAGAGCACCGAGGACCTGAAGCCCTTACTGATGAAGAGCCGACGCACAGCCCATGGTACGTAAAGAAACAAAACCCCTCACACCGATACACAATGTCATGATAAATGGAGAAAATATTAAAGTTACTAAGGACTTCATTTTACCTGGATCCACAATCAATGCCCATGGAAGCAGCAGTCAGGAATTAAATGATATATTGCACTGAGTAGTTATTCAAGAAGAGCAAGGGAATACTGCATGGTCTAAACGTGTGAATCGGGATTTGCTCCTTGCACCATACTTACTCAGTGTGTCTGGTAAGCACACAATTAAAGAAGTTAGAGTATAGGAAGAAGAGTTCAGTACTGGGATTGGAGGAAGGCTTATTAACCTGGAATACACAGGGTATCCCAAAAATAAGCAGAACTTTTTTTTCAAAGCTACGGTATATATTTTACTTTTTTTTTTTTTTTTGGCTTGCCTTTCTACTTTATTATGGTGATTTTTTTAATCGTTTTATTTATATTTTACTTTTCTACAAAACAACCTTATCACCACCAAAGTACTGTATGTACTCAAGTATAAGCCGAGTCCTTCAGCACATTTTTAATGCAGTTTTTGTGGTAAAATTAGGAGCCTCGGCAGATATTTGGACCAGCTTATACTTGAATATATATGGTACTTTCCATTATACTTAATACACTTGCCAAATCTGTGATTGCATTCTTGGAAACATTTTTCAAACTCAACTGTTTGGATGGCTGACAGCACCTCCCTCCTTTCTTTCTTCACCTCTTTTACACTGTCAAATCACTGTCCTTTCATGCCCCTCTTCATTCACAGAAACAAAAAGAAATCACACAGAGCAAGGTCAGGTGAGTTAGGTGTGTGGGGCAACAGAAGCATGCTGTTTTTTGCCAAAAACTGGCACACTGAGATGGCTGTGTGAGCAGGTGCATTGTCATGGTGGTAACAAAACCAGTCCCCCATCTGCCACAAATCAGGCCTTTTTTGTCGGACACTGTTACACAGCCTTTTCAGAACCTCAAAATAGAAAGCTTGATTAATAGTCTGACGCGGTGGAACAAACTCCAAATGCACTAGAGCCAACATTTTCGTCCGGGAAGCTGATGGACATCCAGAACAAAGTTTGTCATCAATCGACATTTCAACCTTTTTTGAAATGAGAAAACCACTTTTATACTTGTGATGTTCCCACAGCTGTGTCCTTTGTCCTTGTAAGCTGCGTTCAAGAAGGCACAACCTTGATTGCTGAACTTCAGGAGGTCTTGAAGCATGTGCTGAAGGTGATCATGGATTGCAATTTTCAGTATGGATTAAAATTCATTGTAAAGGGAAAAAAAATCCTCACAATTGGACCAATAGGGTAAATTATGATAAATGAAGAGACTGAAGTTGTCAAGAATTGCATCTTGCTCGGCTCCACAATCAATGCTCAAGGAAGCAGCAGCCAAGAAACCAAACAGCACATGACATTGGGTAAATCTGTTGTACAAGACCGCCTTAAAGTGTTAAAGAGCAAGGCTGTCCCTTTGTGGACAAAGGTGTACCTCACCCGTGCTGTGTTATTTCCAATCGCCTCACAGGCACGTGAGGGTTGACAGCAAATATGGAACGCCAGAGAAGAATTGATGCACTTGAAATATGGTGTTGGCAAAGAAGACTGAAAGAACCTTGGACTGCCAGAAGGTCAAACAAATCTGTCTTGAAAGGACAGCCAGATGCTCCTTATAAATGAAGATGGCAAGACCTCGTCTCTCGTACTTTGAACCTAGTATTGGAGGGACCAGTCCCTGGAGAGGGGACATCATAGTTGGCAAAGTAAGAGGTCAGTGAAAAGGAAAAAAAAGGAAGTCCCTAAGTGAGATGGACTGACATGGTGGCTGCAACAAGGAGCTCAAACACCAACAATTGTTAGGGAGTCATGGTGAGTTAAAGTTGACTGTGCCAACCTGGCCGATAAACACA